GCGTAACGTCCTAATGACATTACTGACTTTGTTTTGAGTATTTAGTATAAACAACATTTAGCAATGGCTTTCCTCAAGTACGCTCTTCCTGTCCTGGCTGCAGCCCAGGCCGTCCTTGCTGCCGGTGAGTGAACCATCACCCCCGACTCCGACGGATTAGAAATTGCGAGGGTGGGAGCTGATTGTTCGCACAGACTGCGGTAAGACCGATGAGACCATCACGATTTCCAGCCAGAGCGATGCCGACGGCTACGCCTCCTGCTCTACCCTCAAGGGTACCATCGAGATCAACGAGCACGTGTCAGGCGCTATTACCTTCAACGGCGTGAAGCAGATTGACGGCACCCTCAGCTGCACCGGTGGCGCCAACATCTCTACCATCTCGGCGCCCAGCCTGAACTCCATCGCCGAAACTTTCAAGCTGAATGGCCTTACCACTCTGACCACCCTCAGCTTCCCCTCTCTTACCAGTGTCGGATCGATCGAGTGGACTGCTCTGCCCCAGCTTCAGAGCCTTGAATTTACCAAGGGTGTCAACGACGCCGGTGATGTCACGATCACCAATACCGGTCTGGCTAACCTGAACGGTATCTCTCTGAACACCGTTGGTCGGTTCGACATCACCGAGAACACGCAGCTCAAGTCCATCAACATCAACAACCTGAAGAACGCAACTGGCCTGATCAACTTTGCTGGTAACCTGAACTCCCTTGTGGTGGAGCTGCCCAACCTCTCCGGTGGTACCAACATGACCTTCCGCAACGTCAGCGCTGTCTCCATCCCATCTCTCCACAGCCTGACCGGCCAGCTTGGCTTCTGGGGCGACTCCTTCACGTCTTTCAGCGCTCCCAACCTGACCGAGACTGGCGATCTGGTTTTCAACGCCAACAGCAAGCTCATTAACATCAGCATGCCAGCTCTCGAGACTGTCAACGGTGGTTTCCTGATTACCCGCAACGACGAGCTCAGCAGCATTGATCTGCCCTCCCTGCAGCAGGTTACTGGTGCCGTTGACTTCAGCGGCAAGTTTGACGAGTAAGTGACCTTTTTCTGCCGGCCGAAATATGGCACAACGTGCTAATCAAATCGCAGAGTGAGCATGCCCAAGCTCGAGAACGTCAAGGGCCAGTTCAACTTGCAGAGCACCGGCAACTTCAGCTGCACCAGCTTTGACAAGGCCAAATCCGACCAGGTCATTCACGGTGCCTACAAGTGCAAGGCTGCGGAGGCCAACCCTACTACTAAGGACGGATCTTCTGGCACCACCACTAGCAGCGGCAGCTCTGCTTCTGCTTCCAAGTCTAGCGCTGCTGATCTCAACGCTGCTAACCTCCCCGCTCTCGGATTCGCCGCCGTTTTTGGAGCTCTGGTGCAGTACGTTTTGTAAAGGATGGCCGATACCAGGAAATTGCATGTGATTTTGTTTGTTTTCCAAAACTCCCCCTGCGGGTGTGTAGAGTTGTCTAATAAGCCATGGTTTTTTTGATTGCAGTGCTTTTACTGTTTTTATGATAATAATCGAATCTCATTTGAGCAACCTTACAAACGTTCAAGACCTGAATCTACTGTCCGGATGGTGTGTGGTGGCGTTGCCTCTTGAGCAGTTAACACTGATTAGATCGCGGCTATGTACTTGACGTAGTGCGGACTTTGTAAGATCTGCGTAAGATTGTCTGCAGTAGGTACAAACAAGTCGTGGGCATAGCACAAGCTCGTGTATGTGCATCAGATCGGATACATGCATGCATATATCCGACAACTGCCCCAGGACACGCATCCGTGGGAGTTTGTTTTCCTGGGAAACTACTCATGGTATCATGGAAGACGACAGATTGAGCATTCAGAGACCTCTATGTGCGTTACAAATCACAGATGAAATCTCGCGACTAGGTAGTGAAGAAGAAGAGAGCAACATCCAGTTGGAGCCGTTCGCTTTTATCAATTGAGAACGCCACGCTAAGAGAAAACCGAGACACTGGAAGACAAAGGGGATATGAACCAAGCAGATGCGACTAGATCATATGAAAACGAGCGTCAGCCGCCCTTTGTTTTAGGAGGTGGCCGCGATGCGATGGGGGCCGTACCGTAAATTAAGAGCATTGACTAGACCGAAGGAGAATACGAGATTTGGAAGGTTCATCGTCATCCGCATAACGCTGAACAAATCTCAGTCTTCTAAAGAGCAGGATTCTCCTTGACGACCTGGCGCACGCGCCGCTCGTACGCCGGCCGGTCCTTCTTGAATAAGTTGTATGCTTCAGCTTGCGCGGGGGACTCTGGGTTCGGGTCGTCGAGTAAGTCTTGGATTCCCAGAAGGATCTGCTTAATTGTGATGGCGGGCTTCCAGGCTTCTTCTTCGTTGAGGATTGAGAGACAGACGGTGCCGGAGGGGTAGACGTTGGGGTGGAAGAGTGGGGGGACGAATTTGCCTGCCATCGTTTGCGACGTCAGATTCAACGATCTCAATGGATGCGGAAGAGGTGGCAATATAGATGGATATATCATGCCAGTAGTCAGAAGGAAATACGTACATTTCGGCGGCTTGGTCGGATATTCTATTCCAGGAAAGAGAGATGGTCAGCACATTCGCTTGCTATACAAGGACCGAGCACGAGCACAGGCAGGCTTACCATCTGGAAAGACAACGTCCAGCTTGAACAGTCCGCCTTCCCACAGCGTATTCGCTTTCCCCGGGATACCGCATTCCCAGCGCTTCAGGTCCAGCACGCCCTGAGGTGTCCGATGAGGCTTTGCGTAGAAGCCAAACGGGTGGTCTCGTCGCCATTGCTTCCTGCGCGTGTGGGGTGTTAGTTTCTGGGTTGCTGTCGGATGCGGAGTCGTGGGTGTGTTTGCGCCGCGCGAGGGTGACCTGGGCTGGTAGACATACCGTTCTTCTGTGAGGCGGTTTAAACACAGGGACATGGTGAGTCGGCGATGTGAATTGGTTACAGGATGAGGTTTGCTTTGGGTCGGAAGAGGCGATTACGGCGAGTTCTTGGAGGAAATGGCCAAGGAGGGTTCGTCGCGGAGGATAGATAGAGAGGGAGAATGGTGACAGGTGAGAAAGAAGGAAGTGAGAGGAAAGAGATAGAGTCACAGATTAAGAGGCTCCAAGTGAATGGCCACCAGATGAGGCTTTTCCAGTCTTGCTTAATGGATTTGATACCCCACAGCCAATCGGGTCTCCACTGATAAATCTCACAGTAATGATCATGTGACCTCCTAGTATTCAGCGGCCAAACGAAGCCTGAAGGTATCCATGTTTGTCCGCCAAGTTGTGTTAATAAAATAAGGTGATTAAGGATATGTCTTCTCTAGTGATCAGTATGGGCAATCAAGCTGTTTTGATTTATACACTCAGAATAGCCAACACAAAGAACAGCAAGGTGGATCTATCTTAGCACTGTCCCAAGACTCAAGTATCGCCTCAGGTAAACTAAGAGGTCAAAAGTATCCGGACACTCTAAAAAATCGAAAAATTCAACCATTTGCAATCCCATATTTCTCAACCACCATACTATTCTAGTATATAAGAATAAACTAGGGGATAGTAGATATTAATATTTAGTGTACCATCCCTTTGCCTGGTAAACTGCATGTAATCTACATGGCATCAAGCAAATTAGACTGTTAATCTTCTCCTAAGGGATAGCATCCCATGCCTCTATAATAGCCTTGCGAAACCAGGTCCAATCTACCTTAGATCTGCCTCCTAAGAAGAGTCCAGGATAGAGCTGTAAAAGCTTCTTCTTTAGGAGGTTCCAGAGGTGTTTAATTAGATTCAAATCAGGCAAATGCAGAGGCCATTCCATGACCCAGATTCCATGAGATTCAAACTACTCCTGCGCCTGGTAAGATATATGGATTTTAGTGTTATCTTGCTAGAATATTATGCCAGGCTCGTAGATTGGAAGGAGGCCATCTTCAAGGTATTTTAGATAAGAATTAGTGGAATATCCGCCTCGAGGAGCTAATTCATCATAATCTATAATCACTAGCTTTATACAGCCTCCAATCCAGATTGCGCCCTATATCATTTGCAAAATATCCTTCCCATGGTTCATTAGATTGACTAGATCATGCCGGTATGCCTCATTGGAGAATCAGAAGATAAATTAGGTAGAATTATTTAGCTTTCTTTGAATAGAATATTTGTCAGAAAACAGTACTTCCTCCTAGTGAGGGAAATCAAGCCATGTATGCACAAATTTATACTATTTCTTGACTATTTCACACTTTAAAGGGATCCTTTTCTTGCTCTTCCACTTCTTAAGGTGATATCTTCTCAAAACACATTGAATAGTTGACTTGGAGACCCCCCCAGGTGAGTATGTAACCAAGGCCTTCCAGCTCATGGAAGGGCTCCAGCGGACCATCTGGTAGATATAACGCTTAGCAGAGGGGCTAAGCTTTGGGGGTCTACCCATTTGAGGCCTTAATTGCAAGGTTTTATGGTGTTGGAAGCGTTCTTTGGTAGCATAAATAGTGCTGCGACTGACGCCAAATTCCTTTGCAAGTTGAGTAGGCGAACCCTGGTTCTCTAGGCTATATAAAATAGCTGCGCGTGCCTCACTAGAAAGCTCAGCTTTAGGCCTTCTATTTCCACTAATTTCGGTGCCAAACGACCTCATTTTGATGGAATGGTTGGTGGTTAAAATAATTGTTAATTATTTGACGCGTCGCGGAAAGGCGGAATGTCCAGATACTTTTGACCCCCGATGTATCTTCATCTGCACTACACTAGCATTCAGTGTTTGATATGCCGCTTCGTTGGAAATGCAGAATTGTCACTCTCCATGTCCTTTGCCCCATACTGATCCCAGCTACTGCTGTCACATATCCTGCATACATGTAGTCAGATTTGCATAGTTTCATACTTTTCATCTGCCCAGACATTATCACAGCAGATATCATGACCTCAGAAGGCAGGCTCGAGTCATAGCATCGACTGACTAGCAATGAAACCTATGGATGTGCTGTACATGTTCCTTGTTCCTATGCTACTGATCGTCATATATCCCTTCTTCGAATTTCTGAGTGTCATAGAAACGTGCTGTGATTGTGTTGCCGTTGAACACTCGGCCTTCCAGGGCATTCACCGCCTGACAGATTCTGTTAGTGCCCAGACTGGATGGCTTCTGAATTCTAGAATACTCACGCGTAAAGCCGATAACTGGTTAGTAAACTTGACAAAGACCGGCACAGGAGGCCCAGATTCACGGGAAATGAAGACACGCTCCACACGACCGTACTGTTTTAGTGTTAGATGGTAGCAACCCAGTCATAAACAGAGAAGCGTACCTTTTCTGAGCATTCCTCGCCGATCTCTTGCATCAGCCCTCCGTCTTGATCACCCTCGAGCTCAGCATCCAGGTCCATCCCATCAAGCATACCCTTGAGGATGATGACTTCGCTCATACGGCCGAACTTGCCCTCCTCTTCGTCCGCTTTCCTCTTACCACCAATGATTTTGCCCCTGCCAGCAGGAGTAACAAAACCACCGCCTTCCGAGTCTGGTCGCTTCTTCTGCTTCTCAACTTTGACCTGCAACGGTTTGACGATACCCGACCCCGTGGCACCCAGGCCAGATCCTTTAGTCCACCCATACTTCGCCAGCAATCTCTCAGCAAATCCCTTTTGTCCCGGTCGGAGCGAGCGCTGGCCGCCTTCTTCGTCGGGTGTATCCTCTGCAGGTTCTTCCTTCGCAAAGACTTCTTCAAGCTCTGCTTCTGTGGCCGGAATATCTTCCGGAGGTGGAGGCAGGGTATATCGGACCGGCGCACGAGAGATAGTGGCAGAGGCTGGCTGCAGCGCATCCAAAGGCCTAGGCGGAGGCGCAGGGGGCTGGTGCGGCGCAGGCTGAGCTCCAGTCGCCATTTGCAGCCGTCTCAGGTAGGCATCTTCACCGGTGGGGTCATCTGGAATTGGAGCAGATGGCTCTTCGGGAGGAGGCGGAGGAGGCGTCTGACCAGACATTAATGTATCTAATTGACCTACCGTCATGCGCGCGCGTCGAGCAAATGCATCGTCTCCTGTGGCTTCATCAAGCGGTGCAGGAGGGATATCGTTGAGATTAGGCGGAGGCGCGAAACTCCTCGGAGGCGCAAATTGTCCTGCACAAGTTCGTGAGCATCTGAAACGTTCGCAGTCGACTACAAAGGGAAGCATACTGTTCAGTGGTCTCGATTCATCGTCGCTGTACGAGTCCCTGCTCGGCGACCGTGCCATCCGATGTGCGTAGAGGCGATCTTTCCACTCGCGCACCTCAGCAATCTGCTCATCACTATGCTTATACTCTTCGTAGATGTTCGGTCTTGAAGGGTCGTAGATGTCGTCCCAATTCTGGACGAACGCCTGCGCTTCCCGGTTCTTCTTGCGCTTTTTACGTCCGCCGCGCTGTCTCTTCTCGCCAACGTAGAATCCATTGACATCGTCTTCCTCGGTTGCTGCCCAGTCCGCAAGAGTGGTCTTCACGGGGGGAGCCGGCGCAGACGCAGCGGCAGGGGTCGTCTTTGGCAGCGCTGGTTTCGGCTTAGGCTTCTGAGCCGCTAGCTGTGGTCTTTTCGTAGGCTGAAATCGAAGAGAAGCTGAATACCCGAGAAGCAAGGAAGAAGGCCAAGTGAGCAATCAGATCGTCAAAATGTGATACATGAAGAGAACTTCTCGATCACGAAAGAAGGGTATGAGCTCTACCAGCACTTAATTGCTGCTTTTTGGCAGCTGAATCATCTGTCTGTGAGTCGCCTTCCGAAGCCTGCTTGAAGACGACTGGGGCGCGAGAAATTGTTCCGGGAGAGGATGTATTGGACGATGGGTCGAGGAGATTGGCATAGAGAGACAGGCCTCCCCCTTTGGATGAGGTCGAATCCGAGGCCATGGATAAAAGAACACGACGTAAATGAAGAATAGAGATAGTTCAATACACAAGATGGAGAACAAGATCTACAATAATTGTTTCTGCGAGGAGGATCGTTGAAGAAGTTGGAGATGCGGAGTAATTCCATGCATAAGCATGTTTGGTCGACTTGCACTGTTTGCCATGTTTGGCTTGCCCTTACATAAGCCACCCGGAGCCACCCGTTCGAAAGGAGAAAATACAGGGAAGGAAGAGCGAGAAAATGGGGCCTACGAGGCTACGACAACTGACGACTAAGCGCTTTCGCAACTAAGTCCGAGGACCCATGGGCTTGACTATCATGGATATAATAATGGCACACCTACGTCGATTGCGTAAGACACGTGAGTCGTATCCACAGAATCCCCATGTTCAACCTGTATCATCTATCTTAGCTATCTATCTCGTCTATCACTGTAAATAACCCCTGACGGCCAAGGCACACCATAAGAACGATGGGCACTCTAGCTCAGTCCCTCTCGCCCGACAGTCCAAGTATTGCGGTGATAGTCCATCATAAGCCGTCGGCCTTGTCGGTCTCCTACCAGCAGCTTCATGTCCATGTCGCCGACTTTCAAGCCAAGCTTGCTAGACTGGGGGTTGGCCATGGAGCTGCAGTATCACTGGCTCTCGTCAATTCCTTGGAATTCATAGTCTCTTTCTTGGCTATATCATGGCAGCGAGCTATCGCAGCTCCCCTCAACCCCGCATACAAGCAGGAGGAGTTTGAGTTCTACATCGATGACCTCAGCTCTAACCTGGTGTTGATTCCACGGGACTCCTTTGCGCAAAACGGTCCTGCTGTGCAGGCTGGTAGAAAATACAACGCTGCCATCGCGGAGTGTTACTGGGATGGGAAGGAGGTTGTACTGGACGTCAAGGAACTGGGCAAACTGGCAGGAAAGGGCAGCACTGGTATCCTTGAAGCACAGCCTGATGATATTGCCCTTGTTTTGCACACCAGTGGGACAACTGGTAGACCCAAAGCTGTATGGCCCTTTAACGCCTGAACGAGACCATCATACTGACCATAATATGGGAACAGGTCCCGTTAACACACAAGAACCTTGCCACAACCATGAGTAAGGAACAACACAGTATGGCGTAATCAAAAATTCACTGACCGCCCACAGAGAACATCCGGGATACATATCAGTTAACTCCCGAAGATCGGACGTACTTGGTGATGCCTCTATTCCACGTTCATGGGCTGCTGGCCGGCTTCCTCGCCCCTCTCTTTTCAGGGGGCTCTGTGATAGTACCGCTCAAGTTCTCTGCCTCGGATTTCTGGCAAGATTTCGTAACTCACCAGGCGAACTGGTACACTGCTGTGCCTACGATCCACCAGATCCTCCTAAAGACTCCTCTGCCAAATCCCATTCCCAGGATCCGCTTCATCCGCTCATGCTCGTCGCCCCTTTCTCCCAAGACTTTTGAGGATCTGGAAAGAACTTTCAAGGCCCCCGTTCTGGAAGCGTACGCGATGACAGAGGCCGCCCACCAGATGACGAGTAACCCTCTCCCACCGGGAAAACGCCAACCCGGCAGTGTCGGCATCGGACAAGGCGTAGAGGTCAAGATCCTCGATCAAGCTGGCCAGGAAGTGCCTCAGGGCAGGGAGGGGGAGATTTGCGTTCGTGGTGACAACGTGACCAAGGGGTACCTGAACAACCCGGCTGCCAACAAGTCGTCCTTCACCAAGGACGGATTCTTCCGCACGGGGGACCAGGGGAAGAAGGACCGCGACGGCTACGTTATCATCACCGGCCGTATCAAGGAGCTCATCAACAAGGGTGGAGAGAAGATCAGCCCTATCGAACTTGACAACACGCTGCTGTCTCATTCCCAGGTTGCGGAAGCAGTCTGTTTCGCTATCCCGGACGAGGGCCACTACGGAGAGGATATCGGAGCAGCAGTCGTCTTGAAGAGTGGCGGCGCTGCAACCGAGGCGGACCTCAAGGCATGGGTGGCCGGGAAGCTGGCCAAATTCAAGACCCCGAAGCAGGTATGCAAATGTCCTTGTGGCCAACGTGTCTTCCTGAGCAATGAACTAACGCCAGACAACAGGTCTGGATAGTCACACAGATTCCAAAGACGGCAACGGGGAAGATCCAACGGCACAAGGTGGCAGAGGCGATGCTCCAGCCCAAGGCGAAGCTGTAGTCACATGCATATTGTATTTGCGAACAAACTTCTGAGTGTAGATAGCAGCACCATCGCTTGGGTAGATTACCAGACTTATCATCAATGTATTATCTCTCACAAATACATTACTTGTTCATAGTGTCCCACCCAACTCTAGTACTCACATTGCCGTCCGAACAGCAGATTTGAACTGAACCACCATTAGCCCCAACGAGGAAGCAAGTCAGTCAGTCAAAGAAACCTAACACGTACCGGAATAATCTGCGCCTTCTCCATATCCCACACCCCACTCTGAACATAGATATCCTTGCTCAGGAGCTCTCTCGCCTGCTCCTCGCTCTCGGCCATCAGCAACATCGCACTCCCCTTGAACGAGGGCGTGCCCTCGGCAGAATGAGACTCCAGCATAGCCCCTGCTCAACTCACTCAGCCATCTCCTCTGCAAGCAACATCGAGGCCAATTGGCAGGAAACAAAGCTCGCAAGATACTCACCTCCCATCGTGATCACCCCATCCGCAACCAGGGGCTTGACGCCCTCCAGGTGGGAGCTGAGAACCCCATCTCAGTACCATGTCTCGTAAACTCTAGCAGAAAAGAGTCTAGGACGGTGAAAGAGTGACTTACGCGCGCACCTCCAGCCTCTTAGCCAGAGCATCCGGCTTATCGGGCAGGATGCAGAGGAACTCATGCTTGGTGGAAGCCATGATGGTAGTCGAGAATGCTCGGGCGAATGATCGGTTGAGAAAAGCGGGGGAGGTGAGTCTGGTTAGGTGGAACATGAGTGTTGATGAGGTGGGTGAGAAAGGTAGGAGGCTTAAATATCTACTGTTTTTGTTCAGGTACCCCTCGGTACTCTAATTCGCATTTAAAGCCGGGATGGGTAGGTTCGGCGTGGGGAAGAGGGACCGTGTCACAATGTGGGGAATATTCTACACCTAGCACCGGATAACGAACAGAATGCGAGAAGACGAGGACGTTAGCAATGCTTGCTTCTTGAAAACGCGATTTAATGCCAATCGGTATGCAACTACATGGTCAGTGTCATAATCTTCATTGGTCAGATGAATCTGCTAATGTCGCGAGGTAGCAGCAGCTCTTGTGGCTCAGCAGAGGGGCTTAAAAAGATGTCGAAGACTTGGTTGGTATGCTTGTCGGAAATTCACTTTGTGTGTAGGTACATATATATGTATGTACATGAATGGTTGCGACCTCGATGCCTGATCCATCTCCCTGTCCATCTCAATTTGACATCAACGTCTTGGACGCGCCCTGACCCGGTAATAATGTCTCTCTGCCAAATGCTCCCAGGCATTCATTCAATGAACCTCTGCATAATACACGGGCAAAAGTCTGAGAACGACGTCATGGACTGATCCCGACTTGGAAGACAACTGGGAACGACTCTCGAACCACCAACTGGTGAACGGGGATAATGTCGATCCCAAGAGACAGCAAAGACAGATTGATAGCGTCAGGGTCAAGTCCGTCTGCCTGATGGCAGAAAGATCAAGGACAACACTCAGGCAGCTATGAGGTCAATCAATCAGTCGACCAGTCAACTCTATAATCCTCCAAATACCGCTGAACAACGTCCCCGAAGCGCCAAGGAAACAGCACATAAAAAGCCCCTAGAACACAACACGAAGAAGATTGAAAATTATTGATATCATTAGATATCCGTTTCAAAACGTCACTGAAGAAAACAAGAGCATAGAAATGAATAGCTGGGAATGTAACCAGCAATGATGAATATGGCTGAGAACTCCACGCAATCATCCTGACGGCAACTGCGTCAGATATCTGTGGACAAACGGGTATTGAGCATAAATTGGAGAGGTGGTCTTTCAGGTCTACTTTGGCAAACCCGAATGCATGGATGAGGCCATTGACTCATATCGTTGATTTTTAATACGCTTTGCGATCCCCGAGGTTGCCGGGCTTCTCTTCGGTGTCGATGTGCCACACAATGTAGTTCGGCAAGCCGTACACCTCGTATCCAGCCCGCTTGGCCATACGGGCAAACCCCTCCGTTTCAGCCTGGTTCTCGAACGCATAGGCTGGGAAGTTGATGCCTATAAAGTGGACGGTTAGAACTCAAATGTACGTGGTGATGACAGAAAATGCACCAACCTGAACGGTGAACGTCTGCCTTGACCAGAATGTTGACACCACCGATGCCGTCAAGCTCAACCTCGTCGTCCTTGTTCTTCCTCCAGTCACCCATTCCAACGAGGTATTCCCGACCCGTATCATATTCCTTGTATCCCTCAGCAAGAATAGTGTCCGGGTCCAAGTTCTGTCTCAATCTGCGGCCTTTGTCGGATTCGATCCACGAATTGTAGTCAACTAACGATTGTCAGCAAATGACGCTTCCAAAACATGGAAACAGGCATGCACATACAGCGACCCTCAATATCACGACCGTCCTTGTAACGATGGAACCAAATATCTGGAACAGAATAATACGTTAGCGCTGAAGCAACTGGAATAGGAGAGTTCGACATACTAGGAACAAGGATGTCCCTATTGTGGGAAATAAAATCTTCCAGAATAGTTGGAGGGCTGTCAACGATATCAACGTCTCTCCAATAGACCCAGGAGTGATCAGGCTTCAGAGCGGAGTAGAGTAGGTAATTGCGAGCTCGGGCGATAGCCTTGCGCCGGGGGCCCTGAGCCGCAAAGGAGTGTCGATCCTCAACATTCATGCCAGTATCAGCTCCGAATTCCTTTTGAATGATTGTCGCGCTGCGGAAAGCAATTTTGTCTTCCACTTGATCTTGGATTCTGTTCAGCTCCCTGGCAAGAACGGCGAGTGTGTCATCCTGAGAGTCGCCAACAAGGAATGCCAGATCAATGAGCTCATGGGGGTAAGTGATGTTGTAGAGGAGATCGAAGTATTTTTCCAGATGAGGCGCGGCATCTCTCAGAGGAGTGAGGATCAGCACCCGCTCCTTGTTCTCCTTGGCTTCACGGGTTGACCGAATGCCGTTGAGGTCGACATTGATAATACTGCTGTCGTTTACGACATAGGGCTCATGGTGGTTAAAAATCACGGGAGTCTGAGTATGCGCCATCCATGCGTTCATCTCGTTGATGGTCATTTCCATTGGAGATTTGGGGGGGCCATAGCAGTAGAAACTGATCACACCAACCCCTTGTCAGAACCACTTCACACTTCTGTCATGACGACCGAATGGATACTCACTTTTGCATTCCAGATGCTGACTTGCTGATTCCACGCCATAATAAGATCAAAATGCCTGTGAGAGCTAAAGATATCAAGAATCGCGGCCGTGTAAGGAGAACAACGACGGCCCTCCAGGGAGGGAGTCGAGCTTTGGCCGACTTCCACGTTACGCCACCCTTAGGAAGAAGCATCTTTGCAATATGTGACCGGAGAATGCGCTGCGACTGGGGAGAGACCGTTCGATTACTCGGAAAATTGTCACGGTCTGGAAACGGCTACGATTTCTGGAAGAAGGTGCGTTGTGGACACTCAACGTCGGACGGAGAAAACCAGCCGACCGCACGGTAGATGTAAATCCTCGAAGCTGTTCTCAAGGAACCTTGAATCGACACAATTCGAAGCAACTTTTCAAGAGTCGGCCTGGCTGACACCGGAACGAGAGGAAGGAGTCGATAACACGATAAATCGCGAAGTAGGGAGGAATGGCTTGGTGGAGATGGGGAAAAAGGTGGTCTTGCAGGAGCCAGTAGGGCACCGCAAGAGGAGACAACAAACGAGTGTAAATGGAGCCAAATGTAATTATGAAATAAATGTATATCTAAGACGAAGGAAAAAGAAAAGGAAAACCAAAGGTCCAGCGAAATCGAAGATGGGGGACGATGCTGCCAGAGAATCAGGCCGTTTGGGAGAAGGAAAAACGAGCCGTGGAAAAGGATGGGGAGTTTTGCCTGAGTAAGGTAGTAGTCTAACAATCCTGCGCACGGGGATGGCGGAGCCCAGAACGCAGAACAAGTCCACTTGTGGATTATCACTTTCCATAGCTGCTGGTCAAGTCAACCGTGGAACTTTATCACTAATATTATCATCACTGCAGAATGGTTCTGAAGTAGCATTAATTTGAAGCTCTACAATTGATCTCCTGTTCAATATCTCGTCAATATTGTGGTGTTCTCGACCATCTTCATCAACAACCACCATCGTGGCGAAAAGGGGTTGTTCTTGGCAGTTGGTTGAGCCGTCAAGGCGCATCCCATTCGCCAACTGGAGAGATTTGCTATCTCGAGATCTACCTAGATGCCTCAGTATCACAAATTTGCATGCAGTTCGAAGCGTAGTCAATCGAAGACGATAGAAAATCGAAATTTTGTGGCTATTATTCATGAATCATGTATTTGCTGGTGTGTACAGCCCATTATGTCCTTCAGGCATATCATAACGTTTCAACAGTGGCAGAGATAAGAAACCGAAACCAGTTCCTGACGTTTCTCGCATACACGGAAGCATGAAGGAAACCAACATCAGGCCAGCCCAGAAACGGCATATATTCCAACACCAAGTTTGCGCAGGAAAACAGAACCAAACAAAGGAAATACACAAAGAAATCGAATAGCCCACTCTGAAATCCACCCATCATTTCCTTTTCCTTCCAAATGTACCGCCCGTTTTCTCCAATGTTCGCCAACAAATGCACCATAAATATTCTATAATCCGCGAGATAAGTTGAGAGATAACCGAAGTCGAACGTTCGAAACTGCAGATGAAAAGCGCATCACTGTTCAGAGAGTTGATGTTGATACAATGCAAACGCTCAACCGCGATAGACAATCGAAAGCAAGCCAGTTCAGGACGGCAACCATTCTATGACCCAGGGAAACTCATGACAGAAGCCTTTGAAGTCACCACATAACATATGCATTTCTCTGCATCACGGTGATGGGATTAGAGATTCGCGCCGCGAATGTGCAACCGAATAAGTTGTATGAGGAAATACAGGTGACGAAGGTCCTGTCATGGGAGGAGTGGCGGAAAGAAAGGTGTGTCCGAAGGACTGCCCGTGGGAGGAGCCTGAATGCAAGGGCTCGGGGGCGGCGTTCGGGGCGGCGATCCCATCACAGAGAACTCGTAAGCCAGGAAGCACATTGTGAGTCTTGGTTTCAGGGACCTGCGCCAGAGGACGAGGGCTCGTTTGCTCGCTCTTGGGCGACCGGAACATGTGCTCGTATGACTTGAGCTGAAACTCGAGTGCTTGGTTTCGCTCTTCCAGCAGCTGATTCTCCTGCTTCAGAACCTTGATCTGCTGCAGGGCTGTCTGGTGCTGCTGCTGCAGGTTCGCCACCAACTGCTGGAGCTGCATGCAGCGAATCTGGGGCTGCAGCTTCTCTGACAGCTGCCGAGGCATTTCATTCTCCTGGCGAATCAGGTGCACGATGATCAGCAGCATGAAGTCGATGAGGAAGATGGCTCCCTGAACGATGTGTTCCTTGGATTCCGGCAAGCTCTTGGCCGGGTTCCAGCCTGCCCGTTCAAGAAAGAAGTCATGAATCCGGCTATCAAGCTCCCGGTGCAATTGGCTGAGGTTCTTGCGTCGGTTTCCCTCGGCAATGCGATGCTTCTCTCGCTGATCATCAACATCAGCGGATATCATGCTTCCCTTGCGCTTCCTTCCGCACAATTGTTGCAGTGGTGGCTTCCGACTAATGTTCTTCGGGGCAATCAAGCTCAGCAGGTCGGCCGGAGAGAGTTCCTGAGACCAGTCAAAGGCCTTGCGAGGCGTCAAACTGTCGGGCCAGGAGCTGTCGGCGGAGTTGGCTGGCGAGGGAGGAGTCACAATGTGCTCTGAAACCGGCCACGGCGACTTGGCGGGGAAAGTGTCATGTGGGCTGGGTGGGCTGGGAGCAAAGACGTTGGAAGTGAAAGGGTTAAAGGGTCCCCGAGGCAATGGCTCCGCTCGAGGAAGAGGAGGTAATTTGCGGTCATCGCCCAGATCTACAGGCCCGGATGAGCTGTTTGAGATGGAGCGTATGCTGCTACGGGTGGAAAGGTACGTCAGTCGGACAACATTTTGAAACGATGACAGAAATTGATCACTCACGGCAAAGCGCGGCGCTGGGAGATCTCTTCGCAAGTCGACGCCATGTCGTCAAACATCATGGTTCCGTCTGTGCTGTGTGTTTTGCAGGTGGCTGAGAGCGGAACGGTTATGTCTGTGTTGTCTCACCGTGTAGACACAGTGATAGATGACGTCCAGACCAGTGTTCGTATGTGTATGTATGGCGGGTATGTACGTAGCCTTGTTTGGTGGGTATGTCTCAGAGACAACAGCAAGAGATGGGAACGTAGAAGATAGAGAAAAAATGGTCCTCGTGTTGAACTGTTGACACAAGGTTGATGCAAGCAGGTGAGACACTTGTTTAAGAATTGAGAGATATAGCTCAAGGGGGATGCTTGGGACAAAGCGAGGGATTCCACGAGGCAGTGTGAAGAGATGAAGAACTCAAAGGTGCTTGTTCTGTGGATAAGGTGCGAACCCGCTGCATGTTTTATATCTGGATGCAGGATGGCGAACGAGGGATGAAGGAGAAGGAGTTCGGCTTAGTGGGTGGCGCTCAGACGTGCAGTGAGTGAGCTGCAAGCAAAAATGGAGCTCGAATCTGTGGATCTCTTCTCCAAAGTGTGAGTGTATCTATCCAAATCGAGGATGTATCAACTATCGGCTAGGCAGATCTGCGGCCATCCCAACTCGGAAATGGGAAAGGAATTAGAATTACAGTATCTAGAGCATGTGGGCAATAGAAAATGGGTCTGGTCTAGAAGATGACTTACTTACTGGCAGGAATAATAAAAATGATCATTGACATGCCTTCCTGGTCGATCCCCAGGTACTGATGTGCAGAGGCCCACCAAGCCACAACAGCATCTCTCCAGGTCCATCCCATGATGGCGGGGAAGTAAAGATCCCATTCCGGCAGAGTTTGGTCTCGACACCCGCTAATCAATTACTGTAATCCATCTATGGGGTACGAAGTTATCTAGATAGTATCTAGATAGTGTTCGGGAAGCGTGGTTCCGTTTGAATGATCTCTGTCACAAAACCTAAGGGCACAGACGGCATTATGCGTAAGTACCTCACATAACATATGTGGCTCACACTAACTGGCATATGAGGAGAAAAGCAGATCGACGAATCAACGTGCTGTTCGAATGACCACGCTGTTTGAGCTGGATAGGGATCGAAGACCCTTGATTTGTCACCGCTGCTGTGGATTTTCGATCTACACGGGTAGAAGACATCGATTCCCCTTGCATCGCCGCCATCAATACTTCAATATACTTTGATCCGATCAATAATGGCCATGGTCTTATCCCCTCGGTCTCCTTCAGCTCCAAGCAAAACACTGAGTCCCCGAAGATAGTGTGAGTGTATTCGTAGGCGCCAGAGAACAGAGGAAACGCTTCCAGCAATGTGTGGATGAGCGAGGTCATCGAAGATTCTGTGGCTGTTACGGAACTGCTCATCCGGCTTTGCTCTTGCTCTTTCTGGGGTAAGAAACGCAGCTCAATGAATATGATCCCTATGGAGAGGAGGCTTCCCAATTCCAGATGCCCCCGACCCATTGCATGGCGGAAGAAGCAATCGGAAACAGCCTCCATCTGCGTTCATCCCGATCTGGAGGTTGGAGATGCTGCCGATGCATTCCCCTTGTCTACTTGCTGCAGTGGTGATACACTGGTACTGCGAGAATGACAAAAGTACTGACAAGCGATCAACTGGGCTAATATAGTGATGGCACAGATAAATATCCGACGCACAGGCAGACGCAAAGCCTCCACATTGCGGGTCGTCATTGCCTCAGGCTCCACAAATCCTGACCAGAATCAAATAGCACGAAGCAAGGACCCTGAGCTGCTTGAAGAGTGAAGAGCTTGGGACAGCTGAGCAAAAATACCTGAGACACTCTGCGAGGAGGCAATCGAGCAATCATTGATGGCGATAATAATTGTCCATGGCAATGCTCCTGTCGGGCATACCGTTCCTATAACTACTATTGAGCTCGATGAACACGACAGAATCGGCGTCGGCTCGACCGAGCATGTTCATCAATAAAACTCTCAATTCTGTACAGAGTACGTCTGCCTACTCAACCGAGTGAAGCTGAATAACTCACCTATCTAGCTCTAGATCCCTAAAAGTATCAAGCCTCGAAGCCTCGAGAGGACCACTCGATGATCGCCATCAGCCCGAGGCAGGCCCGTCTACTTGGGTCACGGGGAGAACCCAGCGGCCAGGATCAGATAGCTGTCAGACTCAGGGCTCCGACGTTCTGGGCTTCTTCCGTCTTGGGGTAATGGTGACTAGCCTGCTAAAGCCACAAAACGTCAATAAGACAATTGCCCGGCCAGGTTGGCCGGA